AGGGATGGGGTGAGGGATGGGGTGAGGGGTGGGGAGGAGGTGAGGGAGGGGGTGAGGGTTTGGGGGTGAACATTTGTGACAAAGACAGTTCAGCACTCCTCCAGGTGGCCCCCCCACCAGAGACTTCGCGGGCCCTGCTGGAGCCCATACTTACTGCAGCCAGAGGCGAGGAAGGAGCAGGTGTTCTGACCCTCCTTTTACAGGCCTCGGCTTCCCCATCTGCTAAATGTTGGCTTGGGGCAGAGTTTGCAAACTTAAAAGCAGGGGATCGGAGGAGGGAGAGAGTGAGGCACTCACCAGGAGCGTAAAACTTAAGTGCGGGACACCAAAACCTCAGCCATCAAGACACATATTTTAAAGCAATATTGAGTGCAAAGGAAACCATGGTGAAAAAAATACCTACATATGTATATATATATATATTTAGAAGATTTTATTTATTTATTTGAGAGAGAGAGAGAGAGCACAGAAGGAATGGCAGAGGGAGAGGGAGAAGCAGACTCTCCACTGGGCAGGGAGCCCGATGCGGGACTGGATTCCTGAACCCCGGGATCATGACCTGAGCCGAAGGCAGACATTTAACCTACTGAGCCACTCAGGTGCCCCCCCAAATACCAATATTTTAAATAAAGACAGGATCTGACAGGTCCTGGGAGAAGCAAGGGAGATGGTTGGCACAAGGGCAGCATCGGATCTTGTCTTTCTGTCACATGTTGGTATTTTGTTCATCCTGGATTATTTCTGCATTTCTTTTGCATTTTTTAAATATTGCATTAACACAGTATTTATCGCGATAGCAAGGTTTTCTGGTTTGGTTTTGTTTTGTTTTTTATCGGTGCCCCTTTAGGTTTGGGATTTGAGAAAAAGACCCATAGTTCTGGTCCTGCTCTGTCTTTGAGGGTACACAATGATGTCCTTGGGTGGAGTATGCTCAGCCACTTCGCCCAACCAGCCCAGGAATGGCCAGACCTTCTGATTTTTCAAGAGGGCCTAGAAGTCTAGGTTCTTTTTTTGTAAATTGTCCTTATTTTTAAATGTTAGCAATGAACTTACACTTTTAAAGGATTTGGGGGCCACATCCCACTTGGGGACCACCAGTTTGTGACCCTTGTTTAAGCAACAATTCCTCCGTGGAGATGTGCGTTGGGCAGTGAGATGCTGGCCCCCAGGCTCCTGGTTCTCTCTCTGTTGCACTGCAGGAGATGAGTGGGGAGGTTCTTGCAGGGATGACAGGAGCCCTGGGGGCGCTCAGCTGGGAGGCCAGAGGTTCAGATCACAGAATATCAGTGTATCACACAAAGTTCCAGGAGTCCCGGAATCTGGTGGCTCCATCTTCCCATGTAAGAAATTCTCCCTGTCGATGTTTTGGAGACACACCATACATTTTCCGACATCACCAGGGGAGCTTATTAAAAATACACATTCCAGGGGTCCAGTGCCCACAGGATTCTGGATCATTCAATCTGGTGGGGGCCGAGGAACCTGCTTTTTCATTTTTCAACATTATTATTATTATATTATTATTATTAAAGATTTTATTTATTCATTTGAGAGAGAGAGCATGAGATGGGGGAGGGTCAGAGGGAGAAGCAGACTCCCTGCTGAGCAGGGAGCCCCATGTGGGACTCGATCCCGGGACTCCAGGATCATGACCCGAGCCGAAGGCAGTCGCTTAACCAACTGAGCCACCCAGGTGCCCCTCAAAATTATTTTTTAAAGATTTTATTTATTCATTTGAGAGAGAGAGAGCACGAGCAGAGGGAAGAGGCAGAGAGAGAGAGAGAGAGAAGCAGACTCCCCGCTGAGCGGGGAGCTCGCTGTGGGGCTCGACCCCAGGACCCCGGGATCATGACCTCAGCTGAAGGCAGATGCTTAACCATCTGAGCCACATAGGGGCCCCTAAACCTGCTTCTTTAGATCCAGGTCCAGGAGTTAGGAAATTGAGAAACCCTAGAAATTATGAGACAGGCTTGGGCAAATGACCCAGGGTTTCCCCTCTCTGAGACTCAGTTACCACCTCTGTAAAATGGGGACAATGTAATTTCATCTCTTAGCCTTATGCCGAAGGTTCAAAATAAGGGGGCAGTTATTATTGCCCCGCAGGTCAAATGATCTATGAGGAAGGGATATACTTCTCCTGCAAGTGAGGCCCAGGAGCTAGGCTTTTAGATTCGAATTCGCAAAGGGCCTTGCACCCCACTGACGTCACCAAGTCACCTCTGGAAATCCGCTCGCCGCGGGCGGTGGAGTGTACCACAGCGGGCCTATTTGCATATCAGCATAGCCCGCCTCCCCACGCGGTCCCCGCTCGCGGGTGGCCAGCGGCGGTGCCACTCAGCGCTCCGCCTCCTGGCCCCGCCCGCGCCGCGAGCCCCGCCCCCTCGCCTGGGTGCAGCCTACCCCGCTGCCTGCCCCATGCCCCGCCCCGGCCGGGGCCTCCCGCCGCCGGGGCTCCCGATTGGCCGCGCTGGCTGCCAGTGCCCGTCCCCCGCGTTCCGGCCCCGCCCCGCGGAGGGAGCGGGCGCTCGCCGGCTAGGCGGCGGGTTCGGCTGCGCGGCGGGGCTGAGGCGGCCGCGGCGGCCGGAGCGCAGGTAAGGGCGCGTGCCGCAGGGGGCCGGGCCGGGGTCCGCCGCCCCCACCTCGGGCCCGGGGGGTAGGGGCGCGGCCCGGGCGGAGGGCAGGCCGGGGCGGCCCGGGGAAGGCGCCCTGGGAGGGCTCCGATTTGGCTGCGGACCGAGTTGGGGGTCGGAGTCAGGGAGGAAGGGGCTGGGTCCGGGGATCCGGGCGGGAGTTGGGAGTCGCGGTCAGTGAGGAAGGGGCTGGGGCCGGGGGGTCCCCCGGAGTTGGGGGTCGCGGTCAGTGAGGAAGGGGCTGGGTCCGGGGGTCCGGGCGGGAGTTGGGGGATCGCGGTCAGCGAGGAAGGGTCCGGTCCAGAGTTGGGGGATCGCGGTCAGCGAGGAAGGGTCCGGGAGGCAGTTGGGGGTCGCGGTC